ATGCCACACCATCTTGGTCTTCATACCTTTTATTTTACTTATTTTTCGTTTAATATGCTTGCAATTTGAATTCGAGGGGAAACGTAAGGCCTACTCATATGATTGTGGGAAAATTAAACTATTAAGCCTTTTTCACTTTATGAAAGATTATGGAACTTTTCTTCAAGCTTTACCAATAGTCTCGCAAATCTAGTTTCTCAGAATATCGGTTAAAACAGCCAAATCTGTCTGGCCAGTCTGTCGTAGTTTATTCATCTCTGCTGTCTAGCTTTGTCTGATTGTATGCACCGATCAGGTGAGCCTGAACCATACAATTTGCATACAACATATAGCCTCGTGAATGCCCAACACACGAGTCTGTAAGTCGTGTCTCGTGCAGCCCGGCCGAGCGTAGTTCCTGGCCGGTGCTGGGGCGATGGCTGGTGTGTAAAGCTGAGTTGAGCCAACCAGACAACGGCCAGAGGACGAGCCAATCAGACAACGGCTAGATGACGAGCTAGTCAGAAAAATGGACCGTCTATAGAACATTTTTGACTAACCGTCTGAAAGGCAGTGCTGCCAAACATGGAAACGGTATGATAGGGCTCAGCTGATCGCAGGCTTGCGCTTGGATTTGCTCAGCGCTCGACAGGCACTTTTGCCTGTTTTAGGCCGCCTCAAAGACCTGTTCCATTTTTCCACTCTACGTCGAGATCGCCTCACATGTTCTGCCACTACTTTCTGATTGTCATCTGTTTGGCCCAACATGTAAATGGTCTACCCTACGGTGGCGCTATCAAGAGCTGGCTTGACAACGACCAAGTTGGGACGGATCAGGCAATGGTAAGAAAATTCTGCATGTTTTCACTTTGGCTAAATATTCGGTCGCTCATGTGGCAAGTTCACGCTAGCAGGGCTGTACCAAACCGCCCAAGACACGCTTCTCTTATTCACGGTTGATGACGATGACTGGAAGAGGAAGTAAAGTTGTGCCCAACTCAAGCTTCTGTTCACACTTCGAGGCGTAAGATGAAAATGATCTCAACACTACTCCAATAAGTGTGCTGGCTTTGTTTCGCCCATACCGATCCATTTTTCATTTCATTCCACTCTTTCTTCTACCAGACTTAATCGTACCGATCACAAAGTTATTGTCATAGGCAGCTTGAAACAATGCCAAAATCGACAGTCACGACCAGCTTAAACCAATTTAACATTACCTCGTTTATGGCTCTTCCTGTGGATATGAAGTATTGTGTGACTCAACATTTTATTTAAGGAAAAAGTTGTTCAGAAGAAATTTGCAGATTGGCTCCATCGTAAGCCGAAGGAGGATTGAACATTGCGGTTTTAAGACTGTTGGATTGTGCGAAAACCTCCTCGGCTGACCGCTCTGAGACCCAGATGAACGCATTGCGAGAGCTTCTTCGTGCAATCCAACAGTCTTCACGCAAATCCAATCCTCCTTCAGCCTCCGATGGGGCCACTTCACGAATTCCT